GTACAATTATTTCTCTATGTTACAAAGTGAAAATTTAAGAGGATTTTATGGAATTGTGAAACAAATTCCAAAGAATCCTAAACGTTCAATCCCAAGTCATAAAGTTGAGAGTCTTCCAATAAATTTAAATATTGAATATGTCTTGAAAATTTGATGTATCAACAGTCTTGATGAATCACAATGATATAATACATATTATACAATGATATAATACATATTTTATATATATATATATATATATATATATATATATATATATATATATATATATATATATATATATATGAGTGAATTCAGTATGATAACAAAAATAGCCATTTATTCATTTATATATGAGTGAATTTCAGAATAATCACAAAAATAGTCATTTATTCCAAAGAATCATCTACTACTTTGTAATTCCGGAGAAATATTTTTTAATTAAAGGATTCCCTCAATTTATATCTGAACACGGCTGAAAATTATTCTAGATATTGATCTACCACAATCTTGTATCAAAACAAAGACAATAAAAAATGAACAGGATTGAGCTCACGAGTTCTCTTCCAGAACATTCAAATTTGTAAAAATAAGACTAGACCTTAAATTCCAATATCACTTGACATTAAGTATGAAAATAATCTTCTTAACCAAAGCTACACACTAAGATGGGGACAAATATCAAACACACAATATAAATTAAATATACATAACATATAATAGCCATGTCTTTATTTGATTGAATTAGATACTTTTTCATATTATAAAATATTCATTTGTAGTTGCAATAAAGTCACTTTGTTTCGTTCATTAGGCAACCTTGTGCCAGAATCCAGTTTGTTTTGTTTTCCATTTGGGAAATTATGCTACCTTGTTCAAAGTATAGGAAGAAAACAATAAGCAGCTTTCCAATTGGTCAGTTTGAAAATTGTATTTATATATATATAAATGAGAGTTCAGTGATTTTTTTTTAAACCTACAATTATATTGTACATACATGTATTTTAAATATCAGAGTTTATGTACTTTGTAAACTTCTCTCTGAATTGTTATAAAGACTGTTTATATATTCCAATAGAATTATTGTATGTTCAGATTTGAGCACACTTAATAAGCTATCAACTTGCCCATTTTTTTTTATCTGGGCCTTCCATTTCAGCCCCCCCTCTCTCTCTCTCTCTCTCTCTCTCTCTCTCTCTCTCTCTCTCTCTCTCTCTCTCTCTCTCTCTCTCTCTCTCTCTCTCTCTCTCTCTCTCTCTCTCTCTCTCTGGATAATTAGTGAACACGAGATATGTCATTCTTTTTGAATATATTGGCAAGTGGAATAATCTGTTCACCCAAAAATAACTAATGCGACGAAGACGGTATTGTGACATGTATTTGTATTAAATGTATTTTATTTATATATTTATGATTTTAAAAGGTATTTACTATTTATATTAAATTCTGCAAAACCACGTGCACAGTAAATGCGTGCTAAAAACCCCACTAAATTAATTTGCAAATGAAAACGATGTTGGTATTTATGGTTATTTTTTTTAGGGGGGAGGGGCTTTTGTGGCGTAGCGAGGGTACTTAGCGCCCGGGAACAAAACATAAACTAATTGGCGCCTCATTAGAGTGCATCTGAAATAACCCTATATTAAAAGCAGATGCCATATATAAATTGTAAGTACTCCTGAAAATTACTCATTAAAACAACACAAAAATGGACTGACAAAAGTTACCTATACAACTTTAGTTGTATTTTCCTCATTTTGGCGTCCCTGGCACATGGCCCCCGGAAACAGCTTTCCCTCCCCCCCCACACACACACACACCCAAGCTACGCCACTGGTCTGCTTTGATTACTACGATGAACTGGGTTTCTGCGTGGTTTCGAGTTCTTGTACAGGTCTAGCTATTTCGCATAGCATGTACCTGTAAAGACCATGTTACAAAATTTCAGCATAAATAGCTCCCCCTTACTCTTTGTTTCTACTATTTGTACTTATTTTTTAGTTAAGGGTATGTTAGTGTAGTACTTTCATATTTGTCTTCTGTTAATTTGTTAGTTTTTAATTTTTCTCCGGGTTGTTTTCTAACATGTTTTCAAAACTGTACGAGCATGATATTTTTGTTTAAAAGTTGTTAGCATTTGCAGAATCATGTTCTTTGTTGTTTGGAATTTGATTTGACTTGTAAGCGAGTACATACGGTATGTTCTTGCCTGTCTCCACCATGTATCATACATGTATAATACTATTAAATATAAGAGCCGCGTCTTCTTTAGTGCTATTAAATTCTTCCAAATTACTTTTCAGGCTATGTTTCGATGCACTTTTACTAATTTGTAATTGTATTTTTTTATTTTTGAATGACAGCATGTATTGGCATTTTCATCATTTTCTGTTTTTCATGTCTGTTTGTCTTGTCTATTTCTATATATTAATTCTTTAATTTTGGACCACTCCGGTGGCCTAGTGGTAAGAGCGTCCGCCTCGGATGTGAGAGGTTGCTGGTTCGAATCCCGTCCGAGTCATTACAAAGACTTATAAAGATGGTACGAACAGCTACTTCGCCAGATGCTCAGTATTAAAAGGTTAGAACTGGTCCACCTGGTACTCGTCGAGATTTCCCCAAATGTTTGCTTTTTTAAAATTAGGTGGAGAATGACATCCATCGAGGTCTGCTCAGTATGACTTTAGTCTATTGACCAAACCAGACCAGACCTGTCACTAATAATTAACAGGTTCCAGAATCAAAGGATTTTGTACAAATTGGTATTAAATTGTGTCGGAACTTCTGACATACATTAAACATAATACAAGAACAGCATTTATGCAATGTCCTTCATATATATTTAGTTTCTGTTCAATGTCATTGATTAGCAAATTATGTGTAAACCATTGGAATTTACTATTCTGAGAAAAAAAAATTACCGTTAGCAAAAACTTAAAAGGCCGGATCTTTCAATCGAAAACTGATAGGAAAGTATATTCATTAGAGTCTCCTTAATTTCAGGATAGTTTTCTTGTTCAATGCATTACATTTATACGACATTTTGCTTATAAAAGATAAAATACATTCTACATACTTTGTTTTTAAAAAATCTGGTACTGATTTAAATCAACATAATTATTCAGTGTATCTTTAAAGTAAATGAAAATAAAACAACATATATTTGAATAAATAAGCAATAATGAAAGTTAAACCAAATACCAAAAATGCCGTTCTGCCAGTTAACCAACACAAATGGCGTAATTGTTGTTGGTCTATCAAAACAATTAAACCATTTTTGAAGGTAGTTAAAAACATTGCTTATATAGCAAACGTATTTAAGAAATAAATTGGGAGACCAATCACTAAAACTATATATACTTTCTGAGAACATACATCAACATGCCCAGTCCCTCCACTCTGACAAAATTCGTACGTTTCGGAGCCCGTAACTTTAGTTTGGTGCAACGTAAAATAGTCAACGATGGCTGGTTGGATAGAAAAATATCTCAGGAGTAAAACAAGCTATATATTATGATTGCATACGGTTAGAGACGAAAATAGCAAAAGGAAATCTAGGGTCATGGGTAGAACGAAGTGTTCGGAAGTTACAAATCTTGTCTCTTATATAGTATGACAGTGAAAGTCCAAAGTCAGAACGGGTCATGGGGGTAATCTGAGATATTTTTGTCACTCTGTATGACTTTTTCCTTAAGATTATTGTTTAGGGTTTTTTTTTTAACATCAAGCTCGCGTCGAGTGCCTGTGCTCACACCCTTCACGGATCCACCACAAGTACTTATACGTGCAGAAGGCACCCAGCACCCTTGTATTGGTTACGTCTATATTCATGGTTTCACCACATGTAAGGACAGCACACTGCACTATGGACAGCTATTCTCAACCCTAAAAAGGGATACACATACGTACGGACAATACGCCATTCTATGGGCAGCTAACCTCAACCCTAAAAGGCAGCACGCCACTCAATGTACAGCTACACCCACCCCTAAACAGCTACTGTCAGCCCTAAACAGCCCTATGACCGGAGAACATAATAAAGAACATTCACTTCCTGACAAAATCCAAATGACACGTGCCTCAGTTTGAAATAAATCAAGCTTAAACCCATTAGAGAGTGGACAATATTTATGGTAAAATACTCGTGACTATCGTCTCAAGTAGTTACAGAATCGCTAATCTGGAGAAGCAATGATTCACCCCAGGTAACGTTGTACGCCTGCACAACGAATAAAAGTGAAAAATATATCTAACGTCAAAACCAATTTATTTCTTCCCTTATTCTGTGACACTAACCTCCACCCCACCCTTCCCTATTTTTATATATGATTTTCTTTGTCTAGCTGGTGCATAATGCTCGCTCTTGCTATATATTTGCTACTCCCCTGCTCCTCTTATGTTTAGTTCCAAAGTGCCATTGGTGCTAGTTGCAGAAGCAGCATCATAATTGGATGGGATAGCCTTGGTGTGGTGGTGGATTGGTCTTCTTGCAATCTTTGGCTATGTGGACTGTTCCTCCACAGGTGATACAAGGTCTTGTCAGGATGCAGACCTGATTAGCACGAAAAATCCGTTAATGTTGACAACATCCTTGATTTTTTCCAACTTCTCCTGCATCAATCTGCTCAATTCTTTTCCTGTTTTTTTTTTGTTTGTTTGTTTGTTTGTTTTTTACATTGGATACGTCTCCATTCTGCTTTGGTAAACACTGTTTAAGGTTCTTTTCTTCGACACCCTTTTAAAGGCTTTTTGTCTGGTATCTCCACTGTGATTCGTTTAACATGCATGTTGATGTGTGTTTTCTATGCATATCTTGTTATGGGGAGGTGAGAGGTCAACCGGACCATTTTACACAATATGTTTAGCGTGCCTTCAGTGAGCAATAGTTTGCTCTCTTGGGCGAGTACTAGGTAAATGCCCCTATTTAACCTTCTATTGGATCCTGTTTAAGCGGGTTTTATTCTTGGCTAAACACAATTTCTGTCGATCAGTAACCCGCATATACAGAATGACGAACACTAAAATATCCCTTCATTATCTCAACTTTCCTCAACTGTAAGGCGATCAAATATTATTATATATGTAATGTTTTGTGATTGCATTAACATCGTTGTATTCGCTTTTATTTACTCATTGATTTATTTTAAATTATTGTTCACCTTTAAATTTAAACTCTGACTTGTATTTTTCTTGTTGTTTGTGCGACAATCCCCTCGAGCCGATTTGATTTCATTATCAGCAAAGTACCTAGCCTTCACTGTTTACGATTTGTACAGGAAATAACGAATCTATATTTAGTGTATGAAACATTCGCTTTTTTAAGCGCGAAAATGAAAGATGAAACTTGGTTTACAACAACGTTTTAATGTTTTGAATAATGATTTAGTTTCTAAAAAAGGAGATTATCAGCAATTATATGCAGTTGTTTGAAGACTTCTGGCGACCGGGGCAATCGCCTCATCCGCCCCCACCCCATCCTGTTAGTCCATAGCTGATCGAAATAATAATCGGTATTTCATATTGTTATATGATAGAGGAATTTATTGCAGAATATTAAGAGTTCATCAAATTAATTAAAAATTTATAAATAGAAAATTATTACTCAGCAATAAAGATTAAACTGTATCTTCTGGCAATAATGCAAACACATTTTTAAAATAACGATCTCGTAATGACGCATATAAATCTCGCAGTAGTGCATCAATAATTTGCAACAATAAAAATCTCACTTCCTTTCAAAGCATTACTTTCTGGGAATAATATACAGCAATATCTTTACATGATGCGAACAGTAATGTACTAACGGCCAATGGGGGCAGACGGGGCGCCAAATCCATGGGCGCCAGAAGTCTTGGGGAGCTGAAACCCCTTTGGGTCTTTATCATATATCCAGATGCCATTTACCCTTAGTAAGCCACTGGATGCGAAAATATATCGCATCGATGCAGTCGTCATTATTTAACGCAATACTTATGGGCTTTCGTTAATGCCCGTACATTTGTTTGTTGAATCCCAGCCTTATGGGCTTCCGTACATACCCGCATTTATAATAATTTTTAGCTATTGCATATATTTTGAGCTTACTGCAACGTTGAAAATTGCAAACATTAATTTATACGGCTATTTATGATAAATATTTTAATGTTTATTCATATTTAATTTCACTGTAACTCATAAATCCTTAAAGTTTATAGATTTGCTTGAAAATGTGATTCAAATTACCTAAAAAAAAGATCCAGACAAAAACAGCGGCAACTTCTGGACCTATATAATTTCAGCTTACAACCCTTCTACTTGTACCGATTTTGAACACGAAAAACACGAAGGATATTTTTTATTTATAAAAAAAAACAAACAGAACTAAACAAATGTACAAAACCTTCTCGTTTCATTCATTGATTTTCTAACTTGTTGTCATCAAGCGGTCCCCAACGTGTCATCTTCTTTCCAACCAAACGGAAGTTGTCAATATTTATGGGCATCCTGCTGACTGTCATTTTCCTTTAGCTTCTAGCAGAAGAGTCCATTTTCAGTGAATGTATAAGTGAACGGCTTACTCTTGTATTGAATGAAAGCATTTTGTTGTCTGCATTCAGTGTATGCAATGTCGAATTATAACTGGAAAACAAATGGTAAAAAAATATCAACTCAACTCTTAACATTGCGGAAATTTAAGGAGTTATCCGGAGTTTTCAGAACTCTATGAAATAATTTACTCCTGTTGTGTAAACGACACAGACTCACCTTAACATGGACCCCAAATTAGTGTTGAAGTTCCGTTATTTTTGAAACTCGACGAAAGTGACAGTGTGCTTTGTGATAACATAATTAGAAATTGTAACTCAATAAATTAAATTAACTATGTTTTGCAGATTTTATTTTATATCCTTAAAGATTTCCGTTTATAAATCCAGTAGGAAGGTACAAGCTTTCACGGTTGTAGGCTGAAACCATAGTAGTAGTTGTGGTAATAATAATAATAATAATAATAATAATAATAATAATAATAATAATAATAATAATAATAATAATAATAATAATAATAATAATGATAATGATGATGATTATGATGATGATGATAATGATGATGATGATAATAATGATGATGATAATAATAATAATAATAATAATAATAATAATAATAATAATAATAATAATAATAATAATAATAATAATAATAATAATAATAATAATAATAATACAAAACATCTTTACATATTTCACGCCTGTTTAATGGAATATCATTCCCAGTTATTATTATTAATCAATCACCAACACTCTCTTTCGATATTGCACTTCACAAGTTTCTTCTTACTGATTATGCCATAACTCAAATTAAGATATATTTCCTGCCCAACGGCCACTACTTTCCTGTCTCTTAAATATACGTGTATATTATGCATATGTATGTATGTATGTATGTATGTATGTATGTATGTATGTATGTATGTATGTATGTATGTATGTATGTATGTATGTATGTATGTATGTATGTATGTATGTATGTATGTATGTAGGTAG